TGATGCCCAATGAGATTGATGGACTAAAGTAAATTGTCCTTGGATTCATTTTTTATTTTTTCCCTTTATTTTTCTCTTCTTTTCCACTGTTTGATGGATTGATAGGTGGAAAACCGGTCACTATTGATGATAACATTGGGCGGGAAACAATTGGCGGCGGCTCGGCGGCCGGTTCACGCGCTCTCAGAGCACGGCAGTGAAGTCCACGCGCGGCTCTGGTGGCTAGAACGTTGCGGCAGCACTATTGGCTATTGATACCCTTGGGTTAGGGTTCAGTTGGGCCGATTCAGGTTGTCAACTGGGTCTTAGGTCTGGGTTAGCAGTTGGGCCGAGTCTGCTTGTAGTGGGTTGTATTTGGGCCTACAAAAAAATAAATGTAAAATGTAAATAATAAATAAAAATAAAAATAATAATAATAATATAATATTAATAGTTTTGTAGACCCGGACAATAATGGGTGTCTACACTAAGTATGATTTCTATCATACTTAGCTAAGTTTTTCATAGCCAAAGGCTAAAGCGATGACTCGATTTTGAATCGTGAGAATCGAAAAGCACCTCATACTCTCTCGGGTTAAATTCTCAATTTTCTGGAAACTAGATTAGCGGATAGACTTTCTTAAAATCAAAACGGTTTCACTTCAAAAATAGATTTTTTCTTGGATGATGTTATGGTTTACCGTTGGGATTATAGAATCAATTGATTCGAATTCCCTTGAACACACTTAGTGAATGGTACGCTAAGGGAAATTGGGATCGAGTTCGACTTTCATAGAGAAAGCATAATTCGATTCGGGTTTTTCCAAGCACTTTTAAATTGTTTTGAGTTAACAACGATAGTCGGGTTAATATGAACAAGGATTGTGATTCCTAAAATAGATTTGGGAAAGTCAATCACCAAAGAGGAAAATGAGCTACAAGGATTAAACCTTGGGGACTCAAACCGGAATTTAACTGGAGGAAAAATCCTATTCAATGATCGATTGGAATTTGAGGCACGCGAAAGCCTGAAGCTAATTTCATCGTATTGGTTTTTAATTTTAATTTCTTCGATTCTTTATCTTCATTTGAATCGTTTTTGCTTATTCAATTTCTCAACAAACCCTCCTTTTTACTTTACTTGCATTTTTTTGCCCTAGATCAAAGATCAAGAACAATCATTTTAGCATCTTCCTTAGTCCTTGTGGATCAACCCTTTCTCTATATACTATTATATTTATTTTTAATGAGATTAAGGATAAATTTATTTGACAGTGAAAACGATGCGTTGTCAGAAATGAATGAAAGAAGAAGATGAGACGGGATATAAAAACATTTATCTTTTTAAAAAGGTGAAATTGTATATTTGATCGTTCCTTATCTTTTTACTATTCAAAATCTTCTTTTTATGGCTAATTGGGTCCAATTCCAACCTAATTAAGTCCAACGACTTATATTATGAAATCCACGGGGTTCACATGACTCTCGAGTAAACCCGAAACTACTAGCCGATAATTTAGGGTGTTACAGTGTGTGATCAGCTGAAGACTGTCATTATTGGTCATAAGCTTGACCGTTAGATCATTGATCGAATCCAACGACCAAAGACGCTGGTAACGCCCTTGGTAGATTAGGTTCAAACCCTAATCTTAATGATATCTTTACACCATTAAATCACAAACCCTAGATCTAATGATCAAGATAAAGCTTCCTTGTTGAACCCTCCTAATAGCGCTAATTTGCTTAGGTTTCTAGTGTTTATGTTGGTATCTTTTTGCTTAGACCATTTGGACTGCTTTGTGTATTGGGTCAGAAGGTTTAGGGTATAGTTGGGCTTGTAATGGTCCTTTAATTAGACATTGGGGCATTTTGACTTATTCTAATTTTTGAACAAAAGTTTTTGTTTTATTATTATTTTTAATTAATTTAATTTAGGCTCCAAATATAACCCGAACAAAAATGATTATTATAACATCGGTCCAGACAAAACTGCTTCTAAGACAGTAACTTCTAATACGATACAAACATTTTATTTTGGCTTAAATGCATCATTTCTTCCCTGAGCTACACATTTTGTACCGAGTTACCCCTTAAAATATTTTTTAAGATATTTTGCCCTCTCAACTTTAAATCGTTACCCCAATTTCCTTAAATCATTAACACCATTAAAAAAAATTCACGGGCCAATCAAAACACACTACGTCACCTCTTAATTTTTATTTTCTTTATCTAAGTAAATAAAATCAATTAATAAAATAAAACAAATACACTACTGAAATTACACCTCTTTCCCACCCCACCTCCCAAACCTCCACCGTAAATATTTCTCAGCTGTATATGTTTTTTTCAAGCTCTCTCCTTTTTTTTCTATCTTTAAAGTTAAAGTAATTTTTTTGTGGGTACTTTTTTTTGTTTGTGGTAATAAATAAGATGGAAGAAATATACCGCAATTGAAGGGTGTTTGTGTGTGTGTTTTTTTTTTTTTTTACTTTCTATTATGGATAGCTATGAAGCAACCAGACTAAAGCTTGGAACCAGAAAACGCTTTCAAAATCATGGGTTTGCTGCTGATTCAGGACCATGGTGAGAAGGAGATTATTCGTTTAGCCTTTGGTCGTGAAGCTTCACTTCACTCTGTAATACTCAAGGCTAAGAAAGAGCTCGATCTTCTTCTTCCCTCTAACTCCCCTTCTACACCTTCAACTCCATCTTCTTCTCCTTCTCCTTTTTGTATTCCAAGGCAAAACTCGTCTGCTTCCAGGCTCATACCATCTTCTCTCACCATTCCTTGCAACCTCTCTTCTTCTGATACTTCTTTATGGAGTCTTTTGTCTGAACTACCAAACCCGGATGAGTTTATCAGTCCAGCAGCTCTTTAAATCCTTCCTCTTTGGGTGCAGAGAGAGAGGAAATTAGAGATTCTACAAGGGCATTGAATTGGAGAAAACTAACGCGAAACGCTAGAAATCGAGGAAATGGCGTTGATGTTGGAGTTCAACATATCGGAATTGAAGAAAGTGTTGGAAAGGAAGAGGAGTGAAGCCATTAAACAAAGGTCGACGGTGCGAAAACATGTTATAAGCAAGGTCGAGTTTTCTAAGAGTTGAAACATTCGACAGGAAAGAAGGAAGGGTGTCGTTTAGTAAGTTTCCTGCCAAACACAAGAACCCGAGGCTTCAGAATTGCACGAAACTAGCGGGAATTTGACCGACGATGTTATTCATCACCAGGTCCAATTCCCGGAGCATGGGGATTTGAGCGAGTGAGTGAGGAAGGGGGCCGGCGATGAGGTTGAGCGAGAGGTCGAGAGTGGTGAGGTTCTGACACGTGGATATCTCGGGAGGCAGGGATAAGTTGATGGAGTTGTTGGCGAGGGAGATTGAGCGCAGAGAAGGCATAAGGTGGGGTGGGGAAGAAGGGTAATTTAGGTAGTATATATTTTTTATTTTATTAACTGATTTTTATGTATTTAGATAAAGAAAGTAAAAATTAAGAAGTGCCGTGACATGTTTTGATTGATCCGTAAATATTTTTAATGGTATTAATGATTTGGGGCAAATGGAATAACAATTTAAAGTTGAGGGGATAAATCGTTTCGAAAAATATTTTAAGAGGCAACTCGATACAAATTGTATAGTTCATAGGGCAACAATGCATTTTAGCCTTTTATTTTCCTAATTATTTTGTTAATACTTATTAATCAACACTAATAATATTATGTTACAACAATACTATTTCTAATAATTTAGAAGTAATTTCCTTTAATGTTGTTGATGTGCTCATTGTTGAACGAGATTTAAAAACATTTTATTAAAGAAAACAATTAAATAGGAAGACATGAAAATGGGTAACATTTTGTGATTATGGCATTTCAAATCCTTTTCCACTCGGCTCTCACTTTAAGCTCTCACCTTGGATGAAATAGTATACTACGTTTATACATGTTTTTTTTTTAAATTTAGGGTCGAGTAATATATATGCCGGATTTATATACGTTGTTAATTGATTAAAACATTTATGAACAAATACTATACTATAATCACTCTTAGGAGTGTGCAATTTTGGATATCAGATCTAATCCGATCTGAAAAATCGGATATATTTAGTTATTTACACACAATAACTAATTAAATATCTTAATTATTATTAGGCTAGAGCTTTAATAGGTTAGTGTTACTCAATTATTGGACTAAATGCTATCTTTTTCTTCTTTTTCTTTTATTAACCTAAGGTGCTTACAAGTGGCCGTATATATTCTAAGACTCTTAACCATTTGACAATGAATGCTCAAACACCCTATAATCTCTAGTGTTCGAACCTGAGACCTCTAAGAATAATAATTGTTTTATTAACCACTGAAGTAACTTGGTTCCCAAGGGCTAAAGGCTATCTAAAGTCTAAAGGCTTGTTTTTTTCTTCAAAATTTTGGATAATTCAAAATTGAAATTTACTCGATCCATATCCGTTCGATTTTTTCGAATGTTATATCTGAATTATCCAAAAATTAAAATGCGGATCAGATATTCAAATTTTCAGATTAGATCTACGTATCAACAAATTATATCGAATATTTTTACACACTCCTGATTATCCCAAAGTATTAGATAAATGTTTTTGGTATACTTAGGTGGATGTATTGATGGAAGACGAAAGTAAAGGATCTAAAAAACTTGAAGATTCAGCTTTTAATATTGTAGGTTGTCTCAAACTTTATTCAACTATATAAACGAATAGCATCCTTTCGAAAAGAACAAACTGATAATGAGAGGAAAAAAATACAAGAATAGTAGCTGTGTTTTTAAAAATGTCAGCAGCCATGGCTTGTTTGTATATTCAGTTTTAGGCTTTTAAGTTATAGAGTTTAGATATTTTGAAATTCTTTTTTCAACTTATACAGAAATTAAAATAGGAATAACATTATCATCAAATTTGCAGTTAGTTAATAGTACACCAATAACAATAATAATCTTCGGCTAGATTACAAATAACTGATGTTTCCACACATTAAATCGTAGTTTTTATTGCAATTCCATCCTTAGTTATAGCTCCTATATAAATCATATTCTCAATTTGTTTTAAAGCTTCATTCATAATGTATTGAGATAATAAACTATTATTTAGAAAATTAGGGTTTTTTTATACCTCTTCTCTTTGGTAGCCCGATAAACAATTCTGTCACCACCTCCGTCGTCTCCTCTCCTTCCTCTTCCATGCTTGTTGACAATTGTAATGGTTTCATCCCATACTAATTTAATAAAAAAAATCATTGATGAATTAAATTATTACATTAATTAATAATCAATTAACAATCTTGTATTATAAAAGTAGATGAATAAAAAAAATTAAAGTTAGTAGGTAAATCCTAAATTTAAGTATAGTAAAAGGACTATAACCATAATTTGGCCTAATAAATATGTAAAAACACAAACCTCTTGTCGTAGTTTTTCATTTTCTTCCCCGAGACGTCTCTCCTGAATATTTTAACCATCAAATGTAATTAAAAGTTAACCGCAGTGAAAAAAGAAGAAGAAGATAATATTAATAAAGGTAATTCACAAAATTGATTGATTACCTCTTCTTTTAACTTCTTAATCTGCTCGCGAAAGAATAGATTCTGAACATGCCAAAATCAAAGTTAATCAGTAACTCATCTAAGTTATAACATATCCTTTAATAGTTTGATAGATTAAAAAATGTTCAAAATATTTCTTAATCGCTGATAATATATACACACCATATAAATACGTCTATTTGGATATAAAATTTTTAAGAACAATGACATTCTACTTAATCATTGAAGTCACTTGATAAGTTCTATTTTTTAATATTTTAATTATGATTTTAACCGAAGTCGTTTGAAATCGTAAGACCGTGAACCCAAAAAATAAGAAAAATAATCATTTGGGCCTATTTTCAGAAAATTGGTCTCCTATTGGCCCAAGCCTAAAAACTAAAAAGCCGATACCTACATTTAACCCAATTGAAATTAAAAATAATAAATAATATGGTAAACTTAATTATCTATTTAGTCTTCCACTTATTAATTAATTTTTTTAGCTATCCAACTAATACTTTTTTTTAAATCATACCTAACGTTATATTTTGATCACTCTCTGTTAAAATATTAACAATGTTGCTGATGTGTCAACATATAGTAATGTCATGCCAATATTAAAAATAATTTAAAAAACTATGTAAGCATCACCGTTAATTTTTAACAACGGGTGATTAAAATAGAACCAAAATATAATATTATGTATAATTTTAAAAAATAATAATAATTGTGTGACAAAATAAGTAGTTTACCCTAAAATAATAATGTGGTTTACTTAATTTAATTTATTTATTTTATGATGTTATTAGTAGGTTCGAATTAGTTACATTGACTTTTATTGTCGTTAAAGTAACAATATAAATTTAGAAAAATCCTTAAACTTAGTTAAAAAGAAATCCTTAAACGTTCGCTAAAGTCAAAGATTCACTTTTGACCTGTTTTAAGAAGTAAAAAGTTCCAATGTGTGATATATAATGATTAAAATAACAATCAACTCCTAAAAAAAAGTGAAAGGGTGACTAAAGAAATAGGGATAATATTTGTTGATTTTCAAAATGATATTTTGAATGAGATAATTTAAAAATAAAAACAATAAATTTATGAAAATGGAGTATTAATTAAACCTAACAATTAGATTTCCACAAGATCTTTCTTGTGATTTCCATGTCATCATGTAACTCTAATTGTGTTTTTTCGTATTATTAATTTTTTTCTGGATAAACTACATCAAATACCATCGAACTTTAAGCATTGTATAATTTATAATTGTATAATTTATATCATTGAACTTCCAATTTTGTCAATTATAGATTTGAACTTTGATTTTCGTGTCAATTATACTATTGAACTGTTAAATCGTTAACGATATGATGATGTGGCTAACAACTGTCCGCATTGACACCTCGCCAAAACGACGTTTTTGATCTATCTGTTAACGATTTAACGACCCAATGATATAATTGAAACGAAAATCAAAGTTCAGTGGTATAAACGATACAATGCCTAAAGTTCGGTGTAGTTTACCCTAAATTTTTTATAATATAAGATGATTATAAGATAATATTTGTTCAGAATCTTTTTTAGCCAACACACACCCGCATACACAGCTACTTTAACCCAAGACCTCTAGGAAGAATAACGCTTCCTTAAACTACTGAGACTACTTGATGGGTTCTCATGTTATTAATTTAAACCAACTAGTAGTATTATAAAAGTATAACTAATTTATACCAAACTAAAATAGATGGGTTAACTCCTAAGTTTCAACATAATTAATGATGTTATCAACTTAAACCAAACTATAATCGAAGCTTGGTCAGAGAGTTTGGTATTGGAGTGTCGTCGAGTATGGTTAGTTTGCGAGGGTGTTCCGTTTTACGCATGGAATTGGGATACCTTCAAGAACATTGCTGATAGTTGGGGTCAGTTACTAGCAATCGACGAAAGCTGTCAGTCACCATCATCCTTTGATCGGGCAAAAATTCAAGTCCTAGCAAAGGCTGGTGCGAGAATTGATGCGACGTTGGAATTGAATGTGGGTGACAACTCCTTCAAGATCATGGTGCATGAGATAGAGCCTTCATTCAAGCCAAACTCGTGGGCTCCTGAAGAAGACGAATCTAATTAGATTTTGCCTTTCTATCTGTGGTTTAATTTAGTTTATATGGTTGCAGGTGTTGCTTTTATTTTGTTTTATGTTCTGTTGCGTTGTTTAAATTCTATTACGGGAGGTGTAATTAGAAATAAGGTGTTTAGATTGCGACTTTGGTTGAGGTTATATGAGGTTAAGGTGTTTGTTGTAATGGTGTTTATCACCATAGGAGGATATTTCGTGTAATCTTTTGTATTGGGTATTGTTATTAATTTAATTTGAGGTACTCTTTTCTTCCTTCCAATGTTCGTTAACATACTTCTTGGTATGTGAACGAATAAGAAGGGAGTTTTTAATGAGACCTCCAACTTCTATCAAAAAAAAAAAAAAAGTAGTAGGACTAACTTATGTCAAATTAAAATAGATGGTTTAACGCCTAAATTTCAACATAATAAAGGGCCTAAAACTAGAATTAGACCGAATTTGAAACGTTAATGCATGCATCTGAATTGGATTGTAAATACATGTACCTTTCTTTCCCTTATTCTGCATAAGCTTCGTTCCAACTGGTTTTCTAACTGTTGTAGCTCATTAACAGAACATGGTTCCAATCCCTCTCCCAATAGTTTTCTGTTAAAAAATCAAAATATATTAATGCAGATATTGATGAAAAGAAAGAAAGTACTAATGTGCAATTTTTTGTTTGAAATTAAGGACTTAACTGTTTAGAATCTTCGAGTAATTCAATCTTCTTTTCCAGGCTTTGAGCGTCTTCATTGTCATTCTTCATGCACAAGCTCGATCATCGTTAGTTTTTGCGTGGACAGTCGTATTTAAGTTTCCAAATTTTATTGACTAGGGTAAACTACAAGTTTAGTACCTAAACTGTCATTTTTGTTCCGTTTTAGTGTCTAAACATTATTTTTTTTAAAATTATACCTGATGAGGTTTCAATTTGGTACCACTGTTAAAAACTTAACGGCCTGATGACATGGAATTACCTTACAAGACTCGTGGATTATCAAAAAGAGAAAATAATTCCATGTCATCGTTGTTATTAAGTTTTTAACATCAATATATCAATTTGAAATTTAAACTAAATGTTAAGTATTGTTTTGAGAAAAAAAATGAAGTGTAGGTATTGAAACTGAACAAAAGTGATAGTTTAGTTACTAATGTGTAATTTACCCTTTTTTGTTAATGAGATGATTACAAGTAGTATATGTTCAAAATACTCTATCATTTAATAATAACCTCAAACACCCTAAAGGCATCGTGCTAGATACCGTAACATCTAGGGATAATAACCACCTCTTAACTACTGAGGTGGCTTGATTTGTATTTTACTGAGTAAGATTGAATTCAGAGATAGGTACCTGTAGCTGGAGATTTTGGTCTGCTGCTAACTTGTGCTTGATTCGAATCTCCTTCTCTCTCTTCTGATACCGCTCTATGGTTTGGTTCATGCTGAAACAACTCCACAATTAATAACATCAAATATCTGGAAAATCATGCACATATCTTCCTACAATCATGTCAAAGAAGGAATAAAAAAATGATTTATATTGAAAACAAAAAGAAGATGAAAAGAAGGGCTGAATACTTGATATTCAGAAAAGAAAAATAGATTAAAGCAGTGCATTTAGAAATGGTGTTTCCAGCTAGGATCTTCTCCTTTTATTCAAATATAACACACAAAAGTAAAGCCTGCATGATACGTTTTCCTGAAAATAAAATCTTTTACATCAAAACTACTTGACTCAAAGATAATATACATAGTTTGGAGAAAACCAGAATATATTAATACATACTTTAAATATTCAATCAGAGATGTTATGAAATTGGAACTCCTCATTTCTTAAATATATCATTTCTTCATTCATTTATGAAGTACAAAACGGAACAAGTCTTCCCTTGCAGTCCAACAAAATATCTTAGCTGTTCTAAAACCTACTCGAATATGGAAGAGACAATGTACGAGTCTTTCGAAATAACCCATTTTAATAGTTTTGAAGATGAACACGAACCAAATGACCTTAGTGATAAAAAATTGTTATTAATCTTTAAGGTTTAAGGTTCGAGCACTAAGAATACCAAAGATGTGAGCATTTAATATCAAATAGTTGAGAATTATCTTTTAACTTGTACGTTTTACTTACCTAATATTAATAAAAAAATAAAATCCAAATGACCAAAACAAGCACTAAATCAATTAAGTCCCCTCAAAATTAACAGATGTTGTCTACCTAATAATCTATGTAACTATATAGTATAGCCTCAATTATTGATGAGTGATATCTTGTCTACCTTAGTCTTAATTAAGCACGAGGTCTTAAAACAAGCACAATTGTTGCTAACACCATAAATTAAATTACGATTGTGGTTGCAATTCCAATAATAGAGGATACTATTATGATCATTACGGATATTGTAGTCGTACAATAATAATTTCGAATTTTACTATTATATAACAACCACTATTTCGATAATGAACTAATATTTAAATCCATGGAGGATGTAGCTTGTAGGAAAGCAAATATGGAGGGGGAAAAGGCAATTTAAACAGGAAATACGCAGTATAGACTCAACTCTTGCGAAGAGTCCCCCCGAAACAGTCAACAGGTTTCTAATTTTTTCTTACTGATTTCTCTTCTTCTTTCTTTCTTTATTTTTCGATTCAAAACTCAAAGCTTTATGGAATTTTCAGCTCTTGTAAGGAACTTTCAGAATAAACCAAGGTTTAAACTTGAAATATTCTCATAAAATCAACAAGCTAAAGCAGCTTCAAAGCTAGCTTAGGGTAAGCCTGCTTCCATATGACTAAACAACTAAACTTTAGTGACGAGTCTGAGCAAATTTTAACTCCAAAACATTAACACTAAGGAGCATTATATTAATCCCTCTTTTTCCTCACTTAGAACAGCAGGTAACTAGAAAGCCCAACAGAACTAAATATGTTGATTTTAATAAACCAGAAGGACAGAGATCAGAGATTCAGGTCCCTTATGTCATAAAGCCTGGGATAAGAAATGTACTCTCAGTACTAGCCTAGCAGAGAGGGTCCTCTCTATAATCAACAAGTTTAATAGCTTATTCATATGAGCAAATATGAAGAGAAAACGCACCCAGAACTTGAAAACTCATATAGTTTCCCTCTGGTAGAGAAGATGATAAGTGCGACTTCAGCATCGCAAAGCACCGATAACTCAAAGGCCTTTTTGAGCAGTCCATTCCTTCTCTTTGAAAACGTCACTTGCCTACTTGCTGCATTCTCTATTCTCTTCATCTGAGTTTTCCCTCTCACCATTTTCTCCTTCAACCAAAAACCAAATATGAATCCTTAAACACAGACAAACCCAGAAAAAAGGAAAAGAAAAATAAGTGTATTTTAGTTGAATCCTTAAACACCGATATTGATAGGCAAAGGTACAAAATTTTTAAAAAAGGTTTCCAAAAATAGAAAGGGATTAACTGAGAATTCTACTCAAGTTAAGGAAACTGAAAAACAAAACAAAAAACAAAAAATCTTTCTTGGTATGAGAAAAACCTATACAAGATTTACAGGGATTTACCTTTTTTGAAATGAAAGATACACCAAAAACCCTAGATTTTGCAGATCAGAAGAACCAAAATTAGTTACCTATATCAGTGCTTGAAAGCTCTCTCAAGAAAACCCTAGAATAAATGTAAATAATAATAATAATAATAATAATAATAATCATAATTGTGGACCAAAGTCTAAGGAAGTGGAGAACCTAATCTATTTCTTCTTTTGGTAAAATTAAGAGGAAAAAGAAACAGGCAAATCCCAGAGACAGAAAACCAAGACAATAAATGGCAAATGGCAAAACATTTGTGATTCCACAATGAGGAGAAGTGGATGCACCAAAAACGTATGCACACCGTGTGAGTTCGAGACACGTGTCCAGTTTTACTGAAAACGTCCATGCCCGGTGTCCGCAAAGCCAGCGTGTAACATGAAAACAGCACGACACGGAACATTTCTGTCGGTTGCATGCAAGAACCGGAGACTCGCCGGGCTCCATTAAAAAATTATTTTTATATCCCTAAAAGTGCACGTCAGCTTCCGTACAAAAGTGAGCCAATGGGAGTTAGCCATGTCATCAAATCAAGTAATGCGTACAGTAGTTATGCTGGATTTCACGTGGCTATGCCATGTTTGGTTTGTGGTGGGCGCTGTGGGGGTGCCTCTTTCCTTTACCATTCCCACTTTTCTTAGCTTTTTTAGTGTTTATTTTTTTATGTATTGTAGATTGTGCCAAGTGGTAGCGCACTATTGGATCCTAGATTGTTTAATGAAAACATGTAATTGGTTTGATGAATTATTTAATTTGAAAAATTGTGATCGTAGGTAAGTGGGTGTCAAGGGACCACATCTTCCAAATTAGCCCTTCAACGTTGAGAGTGTTACGTGGATACCTTTGAGTGGCTATAGATTGAATTTGATGCCTTAAAAGATTTACTTTTTCTAAATTTCACATTATGGACGTTTGGTGATTCCTCCTCCTATTAAGCTTCTTTAACCTGCTTTTTAAACATCAAAAATATATATCAAAGTGGCTAGAAATATCAGAAAAAGCTTCAAAGCTCTAAGCAATTTGATTTTAAAATAATATTTTTTAATTTGTCAACTTGGTATTGGGTTCATGTTTTTTTATTAAGATAAAATGATTATAAAATAGTATTTGTTTCAAATACTCTCAACTATATGACAATAAACACTTAATCACGCTGCAGTCGTTGGTACTTGAACATGAGATCTCTGAGAATAATAATTATTCTTTTAACCACTAAAATATTAAAAATATTTTTAACCTAACACTAGTTTACTATTAATTTTTAAAAGGACACTCTTATATCATGTAGGATAAAGGTACGTGTAGAGCTGTAAATGAGACGAGACAGATCGCGAGCAACTCAAGATCGACTCGATCAAGGCTCGATAAATACTCGAATCGAATGAACTCGACTCGAGCTCGACTCGAGTTCTTAACAAGCCTAAACGAGCTACTCAATATTCGACTCGAAAAATGTTATATTATAATTTTAGATTTTTTTAAAATTACATTATTAAAAATATATTAAAAATACACTATTGATAAGTATAAAAATTTAAAAATATATTAAAAATTCTATAATACAACTACCCTCAAATTTTAATTAATGCCATTGCAATAAACCCTAAACTATAAATCCTAAATCATAAACCCTAAACCCTAAACACTAAATTATACTTACCTCATAAATCGGTACCAAGTCGATTAATTAATGTCTTTGCAATAAACCCTAAACCCTAAACCCTAAATCTTAAACCCTAAACCCTAAACCCTAAACCCTAAACCCTAAAATCTAAATCCGATTATGTGATAGAGGTTAAGTTATGCACATGAAGGTAATATACAAACTATGCAAAATGATGTTATGTGACTCCTAAATAAATCAATCGCATACTTATACATAAACATATCAACACGCAAAATAAATATACACAACTAATTAAAGAAAACAATCCCAAACAGGGACTAAATCAAGAGAAATCTAAATGTGAGGACTAATTTAAGCTAAATATACTAACTTTAGAATGATGATTAAATTCACGTAAATGTAAAATTAAACTTACAAAATTGGAATTAAACCAATGACATAAATACAAAATGCGCATAAACTATAGGGTCTTATATGTAATTGATCCTATTCGGTTTAAGCTAAAATAATATGGAAAATAACATAAATGAAACCTAAACATTTAAAATAAATAAGAAAATTTAAACAAATCTGATTGAAAAACAAAAATTAAAAATATAACATACCAAACTATAAATTTATTAAACATGAATATACATATTAAACTAATGACTAAATTTAAATAAACGTAAAATTAAATATACAAATCAAGAATTAAATTAGGGATTTACAAAAGGGTGCTCAAGTTTGGGGGACTATAACTTAATTTACCAAAACATTAATATGAAACCTCCAAGTTGTAATTAGTTTATATTAAGTTGACTGCTCAGTTTGTCTCTTTCTATGCGGAAAAATCAAGTCTCGTGATGAGAAAATCGGTGTTGATTATACATAAGATCTAGTGTATCTAATTTTTTTTTATAAATACCCTTATTCAGTTCCCATTTAACAAGAAGTTTTTGCAGTTTAAAAAAGAACACATGGGGAATTGTATGGAGAAGACATTCAGATCAAGGTAGGAGGTGAAAGAAAGAATAAATAGAAGAGATTCGTGAAGCTGCTGAGAAGGAAAACGAAGGAAGAAAAGGCAGCATGAAGGTGAAAATGGTGCTTACAAAAGAGGAGCTCAAGTTGTTGTTAATGAAGGTGAAGAATAAGAACGGCAATAATGGCGGGTATCAGTTAGGGGAACTTTTGGCTGAAATGGAGAAAGCTAGATCAGTTAAAGTGGAGTGTTGTTGGAGGCCTTCATTGGAGAGTATCATGGAAGATGAAGAAGACGATGTTATCAGTTCATGAAAGCTTTAATCCATCCTTTTGTAAACTATTATTATACCCTTTTACTTAGCTAACATTTTTTGTTCTAGATCTTCGGGTTAGTGAGTGATGTACCGAGTTAGGCCTTAGGAGTTTTTGGTTTTGAAAATATATTACTATCTCTTTCTCCTTTTTACCGCAACCTAGATCTGGAGATGGAGATGGGGATCGGAGTTGAAGGTGCGGTGTGAATTTGGACAACCTCATTACTGTTGCTGTTGCTGAGCTGTTTGAAAGTAGTTAATATCCTACATCGGTGGTTCTTGGGGAATAAGGGGTAAAGAGAGTGTATAAAAGGGGATGGGTTTCAACAATTGAAAATTAACCCGTCTTCGAGCTTCAAACGAGATTGAATCGAGCTCAAAGTCGAGCTTGAATCGAGCTCGAGTCTCGAGCTTTGGTCGAGCTCTTGAATTTCTTTTTTGAATTCAAGCCTTTTCGAGTTTGAGTCGAGTTTCAATATTATCTTTCGAGTTCGAGTTGAGCTTGAAAATTTTAGGCTCGCGAGTTTTCGAGTCGAGTCGAGCCTACATTTAAAGTTTTCGAGTTCGAGTCGAGCTCGACTCAGCTCGTTTACACCCCTAGGTACGTGTATAGTCAGTTATGTCTCCTTACGTGGTACAAACAATTAACATCGTACTATTATTTTATTTATAAAATGAAAAGACATTACCGAAGTCTTCTTGTTGTGGTTCAAATTTATTCAATCTTTGAAGAGCTTGTCACGTACTTGGAGTCACCAATGATCATTTTTGGCTAGATACTACCAAAACCCCATAAGTTTGCTATGTATCTACACCTGAATCATGCTTAGATTCGAGAGTCGTTACATGTGAGGAAGGTTGAAGCACCCTCAATAATGTCCAAAATTGATACTTTATAGGAATCGTATTGTCCCAAAAACAATGAGTATAAGTACGAAATTAGTGAAAAATGAATGAAAAAATAGACATCCTTGAAATTGAACTTAGATTATCATAAGAAAAAAACTTAGATTAGGAGCGAATTGAAGTTAATTAAGAAATTGAAGTTAAATTTAATAATGAATTTCAAATTAAGGAAAAAATCGAAGTTTATTAAGAAACTAAAATTAGATTTGACTTGACGACCTTAGATGATAAATAGTTCTTTGTCATTGGGTTGAACTATGTTGTGGATGACTATTTCACTGTGAAGTTGAGTCAATCTCGAACGTTTTGGGCACAATATCATTCGTTGTGAAGTCGAAATCATGGGTGACTCCTTCATCACGAAGTTGAGTCCAGATTGAATGTTCTTCTGAGCCGGATATCGTTCATTGTGAAGTTGAAATCCTGCTTCGATAAGCTGAGTGTTCTTCGAGTTCAATATCCTTCGTTGTGAAGTTGAAATTGACTTTGACAAAGATCTGAAAAATTGTACCCATGTGTGCAATGCTATAGATGCAATGTTGTTATGTATGCCTAAAATGCTTATGCAAAATTTTCCATTTTAGGATTTTCTGTTTTAGAGAGAAATCTCAATCTCTATCTGTCAGTCTTGGTTTCTTGACTCTTCCCAATTCTGATTTTTGGTTCTTGATTTTTTGATCCTTAACAGAGTTTGAACTTGTACCTCTTGGAAATTTCTGTTTCAGAAATGATTCTTGATTTTCTTCTGTAAATTTGATTTTGATCTTTAATCAATGTCGTTTCTACTTCTTAGTGATTTTCAAACTAGTATCCATGCCATTCTTTCGACCATTGTGCAATAACCTCTATCAGCTTCCAAACACCTATACTTTTCAGGAAAACTTTATACAGTAATATGCAATTATCTTTTTTTTTTCAAGGTGAATAAATAATTCTTATTAAAATTCAATCTAAGATGCTTAATTTATTTCTCTCATAAAAAGGTCCATATTTATTTATGAGGAATAAAAATAAAATACATGACAAACATTTTGAAAAGAAAAGATATTCAAAAAGACAAATAGGTGACCTAGATCTTGATAATGTGGACACCTTTGAACTGGCACACTGTTAGATGACTTTGAGTGTAGCTTTTGTCAAGAGGACTTCGAAAATTGTGACAATGCTTGAAAGAGTGCAAAGTTTCTCCCAAATTATTAAGTCTTCGAAGACTTGGATGCCATGCTGCTTTATTGCCCTGATCCAGGACCTTCCTGTGTGTGAGTCTTGGATTATTACCCAAGTCGCCCTTTTGGGTTTTCAACTTGGATTCTCCCTTGGTTTCAAGACGCCCTTTACGGGTTTCATTTTGGACCCATATTTTTTTTC